CTTTTCTAATGAAGAAGTGACCGACATGGTCAAAGTATTAGGGTTTTGCGAATACAACTTGCGTGAAAGTGTACGCGTTTACGCGGCGCATATTTGCAGTTAATGTCTAACATTGTTAAGTGGTAAGAAAACATACATATTTTTGCGCAAAAACTATGAGTGCTACAAAATTCTGAATAAATAAATAGTGCATCAACCAAAAAAAATGTGTTGATGAGTCTTACATAAGAACAAATTCACAGCGAGTTTCACCAAAATACATCGTACTAGTCTCCTGATATTTCGAAAAAGATAAATTTTTTGAATGCCTTTGACCATCAATAGCAGAGGAGCCCGAGATTTTTTGTTAATAAGAGTTAAGTCAGATCAGATCGTCTTCTTTTGATCTAAAGAATCTCGTAGTACCCTTTTGATCATGTGCTTACGGGACACCGGGTATATGTATCTATTTTCCTTCTTAGGTATCTAGAATGTTTTAAATTAAATAGACAGACTCAAATTTGATGAATAACTAATAAGCATTTAACACTAAACATTCAGATCTTTTGGATGGAGTCCATGCAAAACTGTGTTTTTTTTTAATTATCAGCAACTGTTCATCATTGCTAATTCATATCTTTTAAAAGCTCTTAAGCTAATTTTTAAAAAACTTTATCACTTCAAATTGTTGGACAGGTAAAAGTGCATTATTAAATTCAGGAGTTAATACTATGTTGACAAATCAAAACAAGAAACGTTTACAATATTTAATTATATTCATAAACCAATATAACATACAAATGAACAACCTTAGTACAATTTAAAGAAAAAACATTTCGAAAAATACGAGCGTTAATGCTCTTGCCACCCTGAATAACCACAGATGATGTAAAACAACAAGGCAATAGGAATACAATAATGAATATCTGGCGTAGCAAAAATCGCAGGGGCGGGCGCGATCGGAACAGTGGCGTTGCCCCTGCGAATATAAGTAGATACAATACATATATAATAGTATTTAAGATAATGTATATTTATACAAGAGTAGGTAGTTATAGTCGTTTAAATACTGAAGCGATAGTCCAAAGAATGTACGTAATTTTCGAGGTTAAGCAGAGAAACAAGAGTGCGTAGCCTATTATACATGTAAATATATCTCGAAAGGTACACAGATAGACCTTGCGGTCAATTACAGATTGTTACAGTATTGATAAAATATATGTCCATGCAGAACAACACCAAATTCAAATCATCTTGCGGCTTGAGGAAACAACGTTCTGCAGGAACAAAATACACACATCGAAAAACATTTTCTATCAAAACACCTTAATACCACTTCTTGATAGAGGCGGGTAAACAACTGGACACTGCATCTATAAAACAGAAACTATACGTTACTGACTATTCAATCGACCTATGGAAATGCCCCCGTCTCTAGCAAAATACGTTATTTGATACACACTGTAAATATCTAGGAATATATTATAGCATGAATATTATTACTATTATTAGTAACTTATCACTAAAAATCTTTGGAAAGAGTTAACAATATTAGTCAAAAATGTATACATTTTCTTAATTCGTTTAATATGACAGGACTAAGACACAGTTATTTATTTCGTTTATTACTAAGATAAAAATGCCCAATTGAGGCCGTTGGTACTCTTACCGTCATTCAAAACGGGACTAGGCAACTAAGCTATTTCGTAAAAATGATGTTAAATTAAAAAAAAATCACGCTGTAAAATTGTTTATGACAAAGGCACATTTTAATTAATAATCAATAAATTACTGGGCATCTGTTTTTTCAGCAATTACTATCTAGTCCCATTTTAATTAAATACCAACATATCAAAAAGGCACTGGAGCCTCAATGCCTCGCACACATCTTAGACTTAGCAAAATGTTTCAAAGAAATCAACCATGTACATAATCTGCACTACCACTCAGCATTTTAAAGCAAATCATTGCTTTTCAGTTGTTTAGGCCCTTTAAAATAAACTCTTTCACATAGTCAATAAACACAATCAAACAAAAATGACAAATAAAATGCGAGGCATTCAGCGTCCAATTGAGAAATTCATTACAAACACTTTTGTAACGACATAAAACTTTACAGTATAAGATGGATAAGGACCTTAAACGTGATATGTTATGCACACACACTTTTACAACCATTTGTACTTTAATGGCTACATAATTTGTAAGATTGAAGCCACGATTAAAATGCAGGAAACGCGGTTTTTATAAGCAATTTTGTAGAGACAGTCTTATTGAGAAATTGGACTGATGGTATAGTTGAATCTCTTAAAGTATCACATGCCGATTGTTTATTGCAACTTCTTTCTGGAGTAACTGTTTTGTAACGTAAGCCAAAAACTGCCCATACAAAATTTCTCATTTTAATTTTGGTACAATAAGGCTATTTAAATATATCACCAAAACCTACTCTGAACACGTATCAGAAAATGATTAAAAATATACGTTTATCAAGTACTTTTAAAAAATAGTTACGGGCAATTTTATTTTCACGCTTATTGCTCTGGCTTTCATTAGACTCGTTTCTTTTTGTTACAAAAGCTTAGGAGGGAGGCCTTCAAAACGAGAACCCAACGATCTGTGGTTTTCATTGCAAGAGCCGAATCGATAAATACACACAAAACTACCATGTATAATAGATTGTATATAATACTAAAAAAATAATTCTCAATATAAATAAAAATATGTCTTAAAAACAAAAGGAAAACTGAACTTGTATTGAGACGTATCAACGATAAAAATATACATATTCTATCGTTCCGCCTTCTAAACATAATAATAATGGAAACCAATATGGGTTTTAAAACAATGTAAAGATTAATATAGTAACTACCTATACATGCATATATGTATAAGCATGGACCATGTCATGTTTCTCTTAAGAACCGATCCAACAAAATAAAACATAAATAAAGCCCCCCTAAATTAAGCGAATTGATCAATGTTTCAAAAATAAACGTTTTCGCAAATCGTTAACTATTTACCTATTAAAATATATTGTACTCTCAGATTGTGCCTAAAGACGAAGCACCTCACGCTAAATAAGTCGACACCTACAACGAAGCTTTAGAATATTATTAAATTTTTAAAATTATTTATATTTACACATTGAATGAAATGTTACAATTACGGATCTAGGTCGACCTGGAATTGACCAGCACTAAATTAAATTTGACTTGTCAGTGCAAAACGAGGCTTGGGATTATCAAGTTCAGTGATATATTCTTTTAAACATTTACGATAAAATATTCTTTCTAATCAAAAATAAATTTAAACAATTATTACTGTGGTAATTAGGAAGGAAGGAAGAGAAATGCTATTGACTATGCACATAATTCTGGAAATGTGCGACTAGATCATGAAGGAAAACAAAACAAATATCATACTGGACATTATTTGAAAAAAAGTACAACAAATCTCAACAGTATTAAAGTAAAATAACAAAATTTAAGAATATTGAAAAAATATCACAAAAAAGCATTTGGATTACCTGAAATCCTACAATTTAAAGAATGATACCCGTCTTGTTAATGTAACAAAACCTCTCCTACCTGCTTAGTTTATGTAACTTTAAAACGTCATCATCTAGACATCAACATTTATATCGATTAGGACGACGCAAAATTTATTTTAAATACGCAATTCTGAAAGGCATTTGATCCCTCGGGATTGGAGAAGGGGTAGGCAGACAATAAACGAAAAATGGTCACAACCACTTTCAGCGAAAGGAAAAGGGTGGTCAGCGTGAAGGGTTCATTTAAAAGCCAAAAGGGCTCCTACAGTACACTGATATATAGATATTTATACTATTAGGTAAATATTATTAAGTAACAATGCTTTATATGTATGTTATTTTGCTTTGCACGTGTCAAAATTTAAGAATATGGGAAATTAGCTTCAGGTTACTTGTTGGCAATTAACAAACGGAAAATCTTGGCAAAAAAATCGTTTGCACTCGATTTTCTGGAGGTACTTCTTACATTTTGACACCACAACTACATTCTACCATATCGATTGATAAAATGAAATAATTAACTAAAAATAAACCCTTTTAACAGTAAAAATAATACGAAAAATTAAAAGGTAAAAATCAACAGCACAAACTGCTGGTTGTTACCATTTGGAATGATCGATAAAAAATGGCTCGCTCCAAATACTGACTGAGAAAATACTTATTGCTAATCGAATATCTTTTCGACTTTTCGAAAGTGAAAACTAAAACGTCTAAAAAATTCGTAAAATACCAACGAAAAGCGAAAATACACTTTTTCTTGTAAAGTCATGTATAATATAATATGGCAAAAATTACTGGTATACGAGTATCTAAAAAATGTTTGGTACACATACACTAAAAGTTGTGATTGTAAAAATTATCGAAAATTCTATCACATTGATAATATATCATATTAATTAGATTAAAATAAATAAAAGTTATAATTCTTTTGTTTTTTGATTTTATATATTTTTTGGTTGTACCTAAAGTGCAATGATTTCTTAAAGTTGCTATCTACCAAATAAAATAAAAACCAATGTACATAAATACTTTTAGCATTTATAACAAAAACTAGGCCTTCTTAAGGTCATTTAGTAACTAATTGTGATTAATTATATTGGGAACTCGTCAAATGTCAAATTTTAAGGATTCGCCCATGAGGAGAAATCGTTGCACTTTGATTAACGTAAGTGAGCAAATGTAGAAACTCTACGCGACATCACGCATTAAAAGTTTGTGATTTAATAATAATCCCCAATAAATCAAAAATTCACTTGGCAAATTAATTTTTAATTTCCACATTGTAAATATATGACTATAATATGTCAAATATTGAGATTATTGACATCACATGACGCGATTTTTTGAAGAACAACGTCTACATATTAATGGGGTTGTTCGAAACTTGCAAAGCCGACTTTACTACATACGAAAAAAAAAACATTTTAAATGTTACAAAACAAATAACAAGCTATTTACAGAAACTAAAAGAAAAAAAATTCTTTATAACATTAGGATGGCCATATCGACATACAAACGCTATGGAATATATTTTGCCTTCAGCCGGCCAAATATTTGTCTAGATTAATTACAGAAACTGGTTAAGGCCACTGAAATTTGTTTTTCAAAACAAGGCAATGTAAAGCTTATCTATTTTTGTCCATCGAACCTTCAACTTTTTTGTACCAATACCTAAAACGGTATAAAATTATATAAAAAGGTGTGGATTAATCTAACTTAGCGAACAACCCCATTCTGGCAGACCCTTAAATAGGTGTATAAGATACGATTATTTCAATACATAAACGATCTGGCTTATAATTCGAGTTTTTAGGTTTTTTGTTTTTTTTTTAGTTATATACATATAATTTAAAAAACCGCTTTGACTTCGCGGCAAAAACCGCGCAAAGCTTTCACGTCCTGAAAAATAACAACAATAAGAGACTAAGGTCACAACTAACCTGAAATACTATTATCACAGGCATTTAAGACCGTTACAGGCGGCAATATAGAGGATTATTGTTTTTCAAAAACACAACTCAAATTGTAAGTGATATTTCGTGGTCGCTTAATTAATAAAATAGTGAGATTCAAAATGTTATTACGAAGAAAGGGTCAATAGACTGTTTTTATAGACAAACAATCACCCTGTATACTTCTGGAAGTTGCTACTGATTTATCTGATTTCCATTTTTTTGTTAATGCCTGTAAGGTATAATTTCTGAACGAGTAGCTTTTTGAAGATCGATTCAATTGGATGAACATTCTATTGTTTTCTTTGTGAATGTACTAAAGCATGGGTTGGAAAATGATCTAGTTCTAAAACAATATAAGAAAATAATAATTCCCAAAACCACACCTGTATACGGTGTAAATAAAATAGCTATTTTTTAAATCGATCTAAAAAACGGACTCAATTTTTAGCAGAAAAACCAATGGAAAAGTGCGATGCAGCGATCTATTTTATGAGGCTGCCGCAAATATTCTTATTGGAGTGTAGAATCACTAAAAACTCTTCAGTTAGGCTGCGACTTTAGAACCTATCCTACCATGGCACTATTATTGCGGCGACCAGCTAAATTTCTATAAACCTTGCTTGAACCATAAAATAAAGTACGGTTACCTAATCTTTCTTATACATATTCGAAATATTAAATAATAGTTGTGAATAATACCAGTTGCTATTTATTTTATGGTTCATCAATAAGAGAATTCGCATTTACATGGAAAACCTGATTGTGATTATGATCCTTCTTGTTGTCCGAACTAGAGTATGCACAATTCAGACTAACTTGACCGAAGTCAATTTACCCGAAGTGTAGAAACCACTTCACAACGCAAGGATGACAACATAACTTATAAAAATGTCTAAAAACGTGTTCTCTTATTTTTAGCACAGAAACTTAGCAGCGCTACTAATGAATAACACTCAAGTACAACTCTCCACCACGCGCTCAATTTAACCATTAACAAAATCAAATACTCCAAGCGTAAAAAAATAATAAAAAATCAAAATAAAAATTGGCACTAATAACAGCAGACTCACACAATCTTAGAACGAAACCTAAGACCCTAGCCCTAGAAAACGTAAATAAAAATAACAATAGAATAAGTTTTAGGAACCTTGAACAATATATGCGCCATCCGCTAAAAAATACAAGCTTAGGTAAACTATAGTGCGATCCTGTGTGCCATTACGTAGCAATAAAATATCTTGGTTCTAATTAGTTTGTTTAGTTAGGGCCATATGCATGCACAATTATCTTTGATAGCGATTATAACCGGTACTAAGATAATTGATTATCCAACAATAGCAATGTTTACAATTAAATTTAATGTACATGACATTCAATTTACTTGTAAGCTTAATGTTTTGTAATAGCACACTATGCGCACGTCATCTGTAAACTGGAAAAATTAGTGGCATAAAAAATTAAAAACTAAATAAAAAAGGAAAATATGTCCTTAAAAATTAAACTTTGGATAAATGTCAGTTACCTCGAAACGATTAAAAACCTTAAACTAGGTAGTTTAAATGAAAAAATCAGTTCTTGGCTATGTACAAGAGTGCGAATGAGAGATCAATGGCCTGGAGGAACGCCGTCCCTAAAGGATATATAGGGTGTTCAAAACAAGAACATGGTGATTGTTTTTAGCCAAAGTCACCACATAACCTTCCGAGGTAATTTTGAGTCCACAGCAACGCGAAACCTATAAACAAATACCCAAATTAAAATCACATCGGTTTTTTTTTATTAACATGGTGTCCTGCTTGCAGTAATAAATTTTCAGTTATCGTTCGATATTAACAAAATTATGAACGTATGGAATTGATTTTTGAAAGTGTTCATACTTTGAATGAACGTCTGATTTGGAACTATTTAAACAATTTAATTGACCTCTGATTCGCCGGAATGTAAAATTTTAATTTGATGAAAGAGCGGTTTTAAACGATAATTTTGAAAATCGACTTTCTTCGGTTAATAGTTAAGCAAAAACTTAATAAGTCCACAGAATTGTCAGTAGAATTACGCGCTAGAATAACTTTGGTCAAACTGTGCAATTGCTTGCTTCGTAAGACGAAATAAATCGATCATAAAAATGTTATATTTAGTTCTGCTACGGAATTAGTTGTGACACCAGTGAAACAAAAGACTCTATCTCCTTAGTGAGCCTTATTCGTTTTCAAGGTGCAACTTTTCCTGTTTTCTGTACCTTTGGGTTTACAGTAAGCGGATTTTAAAAACCGACTACTAAGATTACAAAGGCGAGCTGTATTAGCAGTATTTCCAAACATTTTAATTGTTTTGCAAAAGTAAATTTATTGATTTGTTTTTGGTAATTAGCCCTGAATAAACTATATCTATTTTTTTTATAAATGAGGCGTAACGAAGTAAGCTAGATTCTTATCGATGCCTTTGTTATTTTAAAATGTCGATGATTTTCGTGCACCCAGTTATCTTCATAGAAATCAGTTCAGAATGAAAATAGTATTCTTACCTTAACGTAAGGACATTCAAATTCGGAAACTAGAGAACCATCTCTAGCAAAAACAGCCACATGAAATCGATTACCATGAGAGTCCCCGATTAAAATATCCCCTGCATCGGATATGTCAATACCATTTGGAAAGTTTGTTAAATTTTCGCATCCGATGCGACGCAAAAATTGTCCTTCCTCATTGAACACAACTACGTTGTGCCCTTTAAAATCGCAGACGTAAAATTCTTTTCCTACAAAAATTGAGTAATAAATTTATGATAATAACTGCAAGTGGATAAAACTCCTTTTGCAGAAAATTACACGTTCCAAGCTAAAGTACGAATTGGCTTACCATGAATGGCGATATCAGATGGCTCTCTCATGTAGTCGCTGCAGTCGAACCAACGCAGCAAGTCTCCATTTTCATGGATAATAAAAACTGTAGGGCTTACGCTGTCGACCGCCACTATTTCACCAGCTGCAGTCACCGCTAAACCAGCAACAATATCGATGTATCTAAAACCGCACTTTAATAATAAAAAACACAAACTTATTTTGTAAAAAATACCTGATTGCAATCTTTTTTAGAAAGTGGCCGTTTTTGGTAAATATTTGCATACGAGATCGCTCATTTCCGCGGTCGCAAACGACGTATTTTCCAGTAGGACGCATTACTGCTACTTTGCGCGGGTACCACAGTTGCCCTTCATCTTTTCCAGGAATACCAAATTGAAACTTAAATGATCCGGTTTTTTCAAAAATCTAAACAACACAATCAATTAATTATTATTAGCAAGATTAAGACAAGAGCAAATTCGTAAAATTAGATAATAGTGTACCTGGATTCTATGATTGTTGGTGTCAGCTACAATAATGTCCTCCTCCATACCCAAGCAAAATCCATGGGGTGAGTTGAATTGTCCCTTACTGGGCCCCAATTGTCCAAATTTGCATCTAATTTGCATTGGACTCACCTTGTTGCTGCGATTAGGCACTGGATTTGGATTATTGGCGGATGATGGCAAAATATTTGTTAAAGTTCCGTCTGGATAGCGATTTAAAATATTAAGAGTTTGCTATATTTTGCACAACTGTACATACCTGTAGGAATAATATCTTCTGGGGTGGATAGCAACGGAGATGTAGATGTGGAAACTCCGCCAAAACCATTTATCATGTTATTAGCCAGATTTAAAGAGACTGTAGATGTTGAACGCACAAGCATATTTCCACCATTCGCTGTTATTGCGGGATTTGAATCGACTACAGAAAAAAGTAAAGGATCATTAAAGTTCCACTATATGTGCCAAGCTTTAATACCCGTAGTATTGAGGCCCAACTTGGCTAACGAGGCCAGATTCTTGTATGCGGTGTCATTAGTCAAAAGATCGGCAATATTGAATGTTGGTGGAGTTGGAGACGTGGCTGCGCTATTTGCAGTTTCAGCAAGTGTGGCCAGCTGCGCGATATTAAACTCTGCAAAGCTGGAGTAGCCCTGTGGCGCCGGAGTAGTAGAAACTTGTGGCAAAGGAGGACTAGCCAACTAATTAACAGACAGCATTATTAACAGGCAAACAGATACGAATAGTCAAACTTACTTGATTGTAATGCTGCAAACTGTTGGTCATTTCACCTTCAAAGCTAGACTGCATAGAAGTGGGCATTGAAATAGGGCTCCCATTTGTAAGAGAAGCAGGCTTCGATAGAACTACGGCACTCATGTCCAGTGGAGATAATTGAGATGCATGATTACTAACGGTTGGACTTTTAGGTGGTGAATCGGAGGACGAGCTCTCAGTAATAAAAATGCCGAAGTTGTCTTTAACGACCTGTAAAAACATACTGTATTAACCATCCCATGATATGTACAAAGAAAGAACACCTCACCTGCTCGAAATGTTTAAAATCAGACTTGAACTCTAGAGTGTAAGAATTTTCAACCTTGGGAAGAGCGGTGTTTAAACCAAGTAATCTAGATGCAACGACTTTTCGCAAGTACATCATTTCCAGAACGGTTCCGCTCTCCAACAGTTTACTTGTATATTTGCAAGCATCTTCAAAATTACTGATCGTTTTTGCAATGTCGACTGATTGTTTCATCATTTTCAGAAAACGATCATGATATAGTGTATTCAACTCTTCTAGAGATTCATCCTGCAAAGAAATTACCGAATGCATTTTTCCTTTGACCATTTTTTATCAGCACACAAACTACTGAATATTAAAAAACAATTCATTGCACAAATTCCATTCCCCAAAAACGTGCACATATTACAAAATAAGCATACTTAAAACATCGGTTTAATAAATGATTTGGTGAATAATGAATGGCAGTAGCATGGGCCAGATATTTACATCGCTTCTCTTACCTTACACTTTTCTAAAACAGCCTTATAACTTTGGTATGTTTCATTAATCAAGTCTTTAGCAGTACTGCGTTGGTGCGACAATTCCTCCAATCCATTATCAACACTGCCAGAGCACTTCATCAGCTTTTCCACCTTTTTCTTACTTTCATCGACAAGCATTTCTATTTCCTGGCGAACTCGAATTTCTGAGTCGGCTACCCCTTCAGTGGTATGACTCTTATGATCCCCTTTGGCACAAAGAGCACATATTAAAGAATTGCAAATCCCACAGTTGTAAATAATATTTTCGCCTGCATGCTCTTCGCATTCCAAAGGCTTATGGATGGTTATTTTGATGCCCTCCTAAAATAATATATATTTTTTACTTTAATTACTATTCGCCTTGATGTTGTTTTGTTTTACTTTACGCATATCCTCCAAAGCAACCACAGAGTGGGACTCAAAGCAACGCATATAATGATGTGCCGTATCGCAATTATTGCACAGCAAATTGTGGCAAGTATTGCAACGTGATTTTGCCACTTCTTTGGCAGTACAGGAGGTGCAAGTTGGATTTACTGAATGAGATACATCGGATACGTTCGTTTTGGTCACGTCGAGAGGTAGATCGGCTACTTTTTTAAKACCCACCTTGAAAATAAACATTTAGTTAATCAACAAGTACTGCATTGTTGCTAGATAACTGTAAAAATCCTTCAGAGGTTCGCATTAGTACTTAGCGAATGATATCAAATACAACAATTCAATTGCAACATAATTCAGAAACATTCTCCTGCTTCTTAAAAAATACTCTAGGAGACATAATATTCGTAATCCTACACAAACCGGAGCTTTTTCTTGTATAGATTGAATATTTTGCAGATTGTTATTCAAATATTCAATTTAAAACCTGACTTACGTTGTTAATTTACCGAGGAGAGTCGCGATCTGATCTCGACAGCGATAGATCGTGCCAGTGCTCGATTGTTAAAAATATTTGGCTGATAAACCTGTTATTAATTATATAATCTAGACAATTTCAAATAATATTGTTAATATTGCGGAAAAACCACTTGAGATASTTTCAAATCATATTATTCAAAAATAGAACTATAGTATTACTTGATATATAAACCAGCTTCTTCACATAAAAAAAAATTGTTACTATAAATAAAGCGTACTTACGATAGTTTCGAATTCACAAGTGGGGCAAACAATAGTTGTATTAGGACTTCCAGCATCACCTCCCCCATCCATAAGTTGTGTTTCCAAGCAATGTTCACAGAAAACATGTAGACAATAAAGCAATCTAGGCTTCATTAGGGTGTCTCTAAATGAAGAAAACGTACGATGACACATAATTAATCTAACTAAACATTATTAGCTATTGATCATTACTAATTAATATCAAGAATGAAAGTTAAATGTCCTTTACACTCTTAAAGGGAATGTTTTGCACACCTTTGTGCTTTAGTGCGCTGAGGATTACTGCTTGCCTTTTTAATTCGTTTTTTATAGATGATTGATTGGATGATTGCTGATTTATTAATTTATATTTATTGATTATTATTAGATTGACAACTTCACTTTTTGCTGGTGTTTTTTGGTGTGTAACAACACACCAAAAAACACCAGCACAAAAATAAATGATAGGACGCCGAACTGGCACGTTCATAAATGTTCTATCCGCGCCAACAGGGAAATTTCAATCAGAAAAACCTTAGACGACCTTAGATGCCAAAATTTAAATAAAAAGATAAGTTATAAATTTACAATTATGTAATATACAGGGTTGCTCATTAGTGCGTCAAAGTGCGATATCTCAGTAAATATGAAGTTTACAAGAAAATTCGTCCAACGAAAGTTTTTCACGTTTAAAAAGTCCACATTCTAAAATTACTTTCCAATATACAGGGTGCATCATAAACGTGTGGTAGTTACCAACTCTGGTTTTTTAAATGAAACCCCCCCTTTTTTTGTTATTTTCAGATTGGCCGTTCAATTTTAATTTATGTTTGTTTCAATCGTTTTACCTGAAAAATTTACGATTTCCGAGTTATTCGTAAAAATGTGAAAGTTTTGACAGCTACTGGGTTCCACAGAAATCGATGCTGTACACT